TTTCTAGTACCAGAATGTTTTTTACTTTTCTTAAATGTTTATCTCTCTCTCTCTCTCTCTCTCTCTCTCTCTCTCTCTCGCTCATACACACACACAGTGACACAGTGAGACAGGGTCTTGATATGTAGCTCAGGCTGGCCTTAACTTGAGACCCACCCCCCGGTATCCCCCTCGGTCATGCTGTGATTACAAACTTGGGCAGTCACGCATGGCTTAAAATGTGCATGTCACAGGACTTTTCTGTAAGGTTCTTTTTTGGTTGAGACAGGGTCTCACTGTGTAGCCCTGAATGGCCTCGAACTCAGAGGTCTGCCTGCCTCTACCCCGAGTGCTGGGATTAAAGATGCAAACCACCATGTCTGGTCCAAGGGTCTTTATCTTAACAAGTGTCCCATACGGAATGTGTGGGAAGAAATCCATCACTTGAATCCCATAGCAGAAGGAACTCTCACAGTGCTTGTTGCCTGCCTTGAAGGAGAGACATTGCAGCGATTTCTCATATGAAGGAGCAGTGCACAGGGCCGTCCTCAGTTCCGACAATACACTTTCAAGCAGCCAACCTTTCCCCTGAATTTATTAATACTGCTATTAAGTTATTCCACAAGACCTTATGTTTGCTCTTCCTGAAAATACCTGTGTCTCACATGAAAGAAAGCCGTGTTAAGGAAAGAATCGTGCATCTCAGAGCCACCTCTGCCCCTGGGGGTGCCAACACCTCCTCCTGCTGCAGCCACTGACCTCCATGCCGTATCTCTCCACCGTCCTCCGCAGGGGGTCCACGGCCTGCCAGCAGATCAGGATGCACAGGTCGATCAGCAGCATGCCCCCCACGATCACAAGCAGCTTCTGGTCTTTGATGATCTGCCGAGAGAAGGAGCAAAGGGGGCAGATGTGAGAGAGCTGTCCAGACAGGATGAGCCCAGCTGAGCTCCTTTGCATGACATTCAGGGTCTTTCTTGAGCACGGTCCAACCACGCCCCTGAACACACATTCATTCTGTTGAAATATGGCCACTGCTAGTCTCTGGTTGAGGGTGGTTTCACCCTCTAGATCTTTAGTCTGAAACATCAATCTTTCCTGCCTGACAAACTTCTAATACTTCTTCCTCCCCTCCCCCTCCTCTCTTTCCTCCTCTTCCTCTTCTTCCTATTCCTCCTCCTCCTCTTCTGCCACTAATTTCGCTTCTTTCTTCCCCTTTCTGACACACAGTCTCCTGTATCTAATGCTGGCCCCCAACTCTTATGTAGCCAAGAATGACCTTGAATTTCTGATTCTCCTGCTTCCACCTCTTGAGTACTGGTATCTCAGGATTATACCACCATGTCCAGTTTATGGTGTGCTGATGATTGTACCCAAGGCCTGATGGATAGCACGCAAACACTCTACCTACTGAGACATACCCCCAACCCTTGCAATATTCCTTGAGAACCCGAATAGATCACCTCCTCCTCCATGAAGTCCCCTCTGACTCTCCCAGTGGAACTGATTACTCCCAGAACACTTTGTTCACATACAAAAGCAATAAACAAGGATGAGAAACACAGATAACCTTGGGTGCACTTACTGAGTCTGTCTCTAGACTGATGCTCATAAGAGGCAGGTTCCATTATTATTCCCATTTTACAGATGAAGAAATCAAGGCTTATCTAAGTAACATGTTCCATGTAATAAACCATTGTCAACTTGATGAGATTTGAAATCAGCTAGGAGGCAAGCCTCCAGGCACACCTACGAGGGACTTTTAGATTAGATTAGCTTCTGGGCATGGCCATGGCTGGAGGTGGGAGTGGGGGGTATCTCGATTAGGCTGAGGTGTGAAGACCTGCTGTAATGGGAGAGGCACTGTCCCCTAGGCTTGGGGCTTGGGCTGCACAAAAAGGAGGAAGTGAGCTGAGTTAAGTTTGCAGAATTTGCCTAGCTGTTTTCTTCCTGACTGGGGATGTACATTGACCGACTTCCTCAAGTCCTGCCACCAGGACTTCCCCACTATGATGGACTGTAACCAGCGTGAGCCAGAATATACCCTTTCTCCTTTCTGTTGCTTTTGTCAAGAAAGGAAACGAAGGCAGCTACTCTAACAGTGAAGAGGAGCTGTGAAGTGGAGTTGCAAAGCAGGGATGTGAAGCGGCTCTGCTTCCTCCAGAGCTCACCCTCCACCCTTCGCAGCAGCACCACCCTGTCCTCATCTTAAGTCATCCACAAGCCTGGCCCTAGCGGCACACTGGGAAGCCCCAGGTGTATGTACTTGTGGACCCTTAGCACCTAACAAGGCGTTGGTATGCGCAGCACAGCAAGCACTTAAAAGTTCAAAGGACTGAATAAGGAGGAAGGCTTATAAAAAAGAAGAAACAGTCCTTACTCCAGCCTTCCCTTCAGCCTGGGATATCTTTCCAATGCTGAGAGAGATCCACCCCACTTTATGTCCACTGATGGGGAGGGGCTTGGGGACAAATTCTGGCAGTGGCCCAGGTTTACCTGTATTTCATTCACTGCAGGTTTATGTCCCCCGACCCTTCCACCACACACATAAAGCTAATGTGATAAAGTCAGTCTGGAAAAGATTCACCAAAAAATAAACAAGCCTCAAAATAAGCCTAATAAATATCACCAGCTCTGACTTCTAAAGATAAAGGGCATTTTAAAAGAAGAAATGGTTACTCAAGAGGCCTCTCTATGGCTGACTATGGAAAACATAAGAAAGGGTTGCTGATCAAATCCACAAGAACTGGTTTACCTTGGGTCAGGACACCAACCAAGTTCCCTCTGCTAATTTGTAAGAAGGACCATTATATTCTGGAGTTTTTTTGAAACATGGTGTAACCCTTGGTCTCTGGGGAGCTGGGTAACTCCTCACCGGGCTTGAGAAAGCAGGGTAGAAGGAAAAAGGAGCCCAGGACTCAGGACAGGCAGAAAGGGGGACTCAGGACAGGCAGGATGGGTAGGAAGGGGCCTCTGCTCTCTATGCTGGAGGCAGGGGCTATTTGCACCTGGGCATCCACATTTCTGGGGTGCATTCACCTTCTTGGGGTGCTCACTACCTTCCCCACTGGCAGGAGCACAAGAAATTCCCAGGACCCTATGCCTCTGGCATGTCCTGTGTGAGCTCAGTCTACCTTAGAAGACCATCAAGGTCCCCGTCTTGTTGATGCGATAAAGTAAGCTCTCCCTCTGAGGTTGGAGCTAGCGCAGGGCAGTGAACCTGGCGCAATTCTGGCTCCCTTTCTAACTACCTGTGTAGTGATGCCAAAGCAGGTGGGGGTCAGGGGGAAGGAGGCTCATGTCTTGTTCTTTGAGGATGGCATAAAGGAATGAACACCAAACCTCGTTTGATTCCAGTTGCCAAACACTTAACATTGCTGAGCCTCAGTTTCCTCCTTGATAAAGTCGGGTCACTGTTCCCCAAGTTACACAGCTGGTACTGGAATAAAGTAAAGTGAGGAGTGGAAGTAGCCAGTGCACGGTGTGCTCAGAAAAGATGCTCCGGGAACCATAGCTGTTTGGCTCTGCTTGCTTGGGTCTGACCATCAACAATACTGTGCTTACGTGTAGGACAGTGACACCTGGGGGCAAAGTGTGATATTACACTTCAGCTCTACTAGACAGGACTGAGCCATAGAGGATAAATACACATAAATACACAGCTGGAAGGTCCTGAGAGTAAAAGACGGTGCTTATAATTCTTTTTGGAGGGCACAATTCCCAAAGGCTGGCACTTGGCTGGTGTTTGGGAGTGAATGGCTTGGTAAGTAGTTATGAAACACCTTCCATTTAGTAATTGTGGGAATATTTATTAAGTGCCTACATGGGGTTGGATTCTGTCCTAGGCACTGAGGACACAGCATAGAACACAGAAATCACGCCCTCACAGAATGCACACTTTAGTGAGGAAGACTAACAGTGATGATTAAGTGAATTTGTCTACACACACCCAAAACAGAGGACCAAGGAAAGGTAATTTTAATACAATCCCAAGGAATGAAAATGGAGGGAGAGAAGGAATCAACGCCATCCTGGCTCCTCGTCAGAGCCCTGGAGCACAGCTCACTTCTCATCTCACCTTTCCCTTTCCTTCCTCTTCAGATTTCCCTCATATCTGCCTCAAATTCTCTGGGTTCTTCCCACACTGGGTGATGTCATCACTTGCCAGCCTATCTGAGCTAGCAGAGTCCCACTGTCACATTATATCTGAGATAGCACCCAGGCATCAGCAATGACTAAGCACTTGGTTCTGGAATTGGATCTGAGTTTGAGGTGCACTAATTAGTTGTATGGCCTTGGATAAGTCCCCTGGCTCCTTTGAGCCACTTTCCTCATCCATGAAATGGGATGATAAGTGTACAAGCTGCTTTAGATGCCTAAACCCCGACTTACAGTAACTACTCCTTGGAGGCAGAGCCCGTGATCTTTTGCAGGTAATACTTCTTATTGCTGTTCAGAGGTGGGGCCAGTAAACCTGTATTTCACTCACCACTCATTTTGGTAAATAAAGTTTTGTGGGAATGTAATCACACCAATCCAGTGGTACATCTATGTCTGGCTGTTTCCATTTTATAAAGCAGAGTAGAGTCCTTGCTAACTGGATAACAGGACTTGCAAGCTCTCAAGTATTTACCATTTCGTTCTGTATAGAAGAAACAGCTTAACTCTGGTTTAAAGGGGGAAAATTTCTTCAAAGAACTTCAGATTTTTAAATTTCAAGACAAAATTTTCGCCCAGGATAGCTTGGAACTTGGGATCATCCTGCCTCAATCGTTTCACACTGGTCTTGACTTCAGATTAAAAAATTTATGTGTATGAATGTTTTGCCTACATGGTAAGTGTACCACATCTGTGCAATGCCTGCAGAGGACAGAAGAGGGTGTTGGATCCCCTGGAACTGAAATTGGCTACCATGTAGGTGCTGGGAACCGATGAACCTGGGTCCTCTGCAAGAGCAGCCAGTGCTCCCAATTGCTGAGGCATCTTTCCAGTCCCTTGACTCCAGATTTTTGACTGATTCTGACTTTCTAGTAGGGCCAACTCCTCGCTCTAGAGAGCCCCCTGGTGGGGAGAATAGTAGGATGGGCCCTGGTGCTCCCTCACACCACCTTACCCTTCTTCCGACTCACAGCTGAAAACTTCCAGGCAGCTGCTCAGAGCCCTAGACTGGCACTTTCCTGGGTGAGTCGGGTGGCTGTCTACAGGATGACCTTAGATGTTTCGTTGCTCTTGTTGTTGTCAGCCACAGAACCAAGCATATTTGTCCTCAAAACACATCTGCCTCTGAACAGAAGGTCTTCTCTCTGGGTGACTGCTTCATCTCAACACTGCATTTCTGGTTCTAGTGAGAGGCTCGGCTGAATGAAGACTGTAATAAGCTTTTCAATGTAAGAGTTTATGATTGGTCTTTAGGAAAGCAGTGATGTGTTGCTGGGTGTGGTGGCACACACCTTTAATCCCACCACTTGGGAGGCAGAGGCAGGTAGATCCCTACAAGACTGAGGCCAGTCTGGACTACATAGTGAGTTCCAGGTCAGCTGGGGCTACAGAGAAATTCTGTCTCAAGAAAAGACAGAGAGAGAGAGACAGAGAGAGAGAGAGAGAGAGAGAGAGAGAGAGGTAGTAACATACTGTAAGAATGCTTCTCTTCCTTAATGTCTGTAACATTAGAGTGCTTTGCAATCGTGTTTGGGGAGGGCCCACCATCATGGGTAGAGGAGGAGGATGTGGGAGTTCAGGGAGAAAGGGAGGCATAAGAATACTAAATAATGAAAAACAAGGGCATATGATTGCACTTATACATTTATGAAAATTTAGTGTCAGTAAAAGAAAATTAAGGGGTCCACAAAAAAATAATACAAACTTCTTTAAACTATAACAAATAAAACAAGTCAGTCATACGAAGGCATATACTGCATGAGTCAATTTGTGTGAGATCCCCAGGGATGTCAGATTCAGAGAAAGGAAGGTGGTCCCTGGCTGGAGAAGGGAATTCAACACATCTGGCTAGGGTTGAACCGGTGCGGAGCTTCGGCTTGGAGGATGAAGGTGTTTTGGAGGTGGATAGGGGTAAAGTTGCATGACGGTACAATGTGCCATAGCCTTCAGAGCCAGATTAAGGCCTGTGAGAACACCACCATGGTGTGATTACCTCACAGGGTTGTTCTGGTGGATCATGAATGGACAACTAGATTATTTTGGAAGGGCCAGGCAGCTGCAGTCTCAAATAAGGCCTTCTCCACATGCTGTGGCTTTTACATAACTAAAAGTGATTTTGTTTTAGTGGCTTTTCTGATTTTGTTTTTGTTGTTGTTGTCTGTTTTTCAGACAAGGTCTCAGTCTGTTGCCTAGGCTAGCCTTGAACTCACTATTTAGCCCAGGCTGGCTTTGATCTCCTGACAGTCCTCCTACTTCAGTCTTCCAAATGTTGGAGTTACAGGCAGGAGCCATCACATCATGATTTTTATTGGCTTTTAAAACGGTGGCAAAATACCTTCAATTTACTATTTGACCATTTTCAAGTGGACAGCTCAGTAGTACTAACTGGAAGAAGTCGATCCCATGTGATTGGTGCACCTGGTGTCATCACCTCCACAACCACCATGGGCCAACCTGTCTTCACTCCTACGCATGAAGCTTGCCCTTGCTGTGTCCCTGACCGTCACCATCCTTGATGTCATTTTCTCCACTGGTTTCCCACAGTTGTCCTCTAGTGCCCTCAGGACACAGTCACTGTCCTCTTAAGGCCACCACGTGCTCCCTTTAGTCTGTCTTCATGCTCCCAGGGGCCTGTATTTCATCCCCATTGTTCCATCATCCTTTAAAAAAAAAAAAGATACAAAAAAAGTAACAAGAAAAAAAAAAACTTAAAAAAATCGTAAAAATGGTTTAAGAAAAAAATTAAAAGTGGGAAAAAAAAAAAAAAGAACCAGAATGAGAAAAGGGGGTGTGGGCTTTGTCAAACAAGCCCGTTCTTTGACTCTGATCCTTCCTTCCCACCCAGTCCTGCTTTGGGCTCTGACACTGTCGGATGTGACCTGAGCTTTTGGTCTCTGGAGATGACGCCCACCTCTGCTCCATGCACATGGACACCCTGAACTCCTGAACTTTTCTTGTGAGTGTTCTTGCCTCACAGCCACTTAATGGAACATGGTGGTAGCCATCTCATCAATGCACAACAACGTGGTAACCCATAGTAACGAAAGGAATCAACGTGTTTTTTCCAAACCAGAGTAGCTCTGCAGAGCAGGAGGGCCTGGATCAGTACCTCTCAGTTCTGGTGAGGCCTGGTGCAAACATTGGGTGGGGGGTTGGACCCCATGCCAGCATTCTGGTCCCTAGGAATTGGCTGGGTTACAGAATGTGCACTTCTGAGGCTCCCAGGAGAAGACAGCTCACAATGGGAAGTTTTGTGCTGCAGTTTTGTTTTGGTTCTAGAGAAGCTTGGGGGTGGGGTCCTTTGTTTGTGGTGCTGCATCCACAGATTCTACCAACCAAGATGGTTCACCATGCAGTCTGCAGTGCTTGCATTTGTATTGAACACGTACAGACCATTCTTTCTTGTAATTATTCCCAAAACAATACAGTATAAGAACTGTTTATACAGCACTTACAGTGTGTTAGGGATTGTAAGGAATCTAGAGATGATTTAATGTATAGGAGGATGGGCGGGAGGTTACATGCAAAGAGCACATCATTTTATATGAGGGGCCCTATCACCTGTGGATTTGGGTGTCCTGGGTGTGTGGAGGTCATATGTGATTCTAAACCAAGTCCTTAGAGGATGGGCGGGGGGTGGGGACTCAGGGAGAAAGAGAGACAGGCTGCACTTGTCCTGAGGTGGGCTGGGTGTCTGGCAGATGGGGTGGGGAAGTGGATGGGGTGGTAGACAGGACCCATCCTGCCCCATCTGGCCAGGGTGGAGACTGTAGCTCAGGAATCAGTTCTGGCAGTGGAGATGGGGTGTCAGGCCTGAGGAATGAGGGATGCCACGGGCACCAGGCAGGAGGGAGAATGACAGCTTTGGAGACAATGCTGTTGCAACCTGCCTCACTCTGCAGGTCATGAAGAGCAATAGATTTGGGTAAGGTCCTGTGGAAAGCCAGTAGCTGGGCAGTTCTGCCTGGGCAGGCTTTCCCTCTGTTGTAGGCACAGGTGACAGATGGTGAAGAATGGGAACATTAGAGTCTGCTTCCCAAAGTGGGATGGCCCACAATGCAGGGGCTGCAGAGGAGGGTATGAAAACAGGGGTGCACACATCACTGGGGTTCAAAAGTGTTAGTATGTGGGGGTGGGGCTGGAGTGGAAGGAAGGAGGTCTCACAGTGTCAGGAGACACTGCCCTGGGTGTCAGGAACAGGAGTGGCCATGGATCAAGGAGGGCTGTAAAGAGACCAGCTGGTTGCTTGGTGGTGGAACAGCTCAGGCAACCCTGTGGAATGCTGTCTGAGGGGAGGTGGAGCTGGCTGGGTGCTTGGAGGGCAAAAAGGAGTGCCATCCTGGAGCCTGGAGGAGGGGGCGCTGAAGCTGCCTGTGCCACCAGGCATGTGCTGTGGGCCAGGGAGCATTATATGCCCATCCAAGCCCAGATGGAGGGCCAGGTGACCTCAGGAAAATACCACAAATAGCCAGGGGCGAGTATTCAGCCATGTGAAGGGCACTTCAGGAGTTCCAGGAATGGGGGCCTGTAGAGCCCCTGAAAGGCCCATTCAGATTCTGCCTGGCCAGCATGCCTGCTGCCTCATTGGCAGGGCAGGTCTTTCCTGCCCCCCTGCCACTCCTCCAAGGTTCCAGGTGAATGACCTCAGGATGGCCAGAGAGAGAGAGAAGAGGCCAGCCCATGCCTCTGTCCCGAGGCTGGTGATGGCATGCCACAGGCCTCAGGGAACAGGTGCTGACAATCTGGGGTTCACTGAACCGAGGATCTTCAGAGTCCTGAGACTTCCTTTTAATTTTTCCCAGGAGTCAGGGAAGAAGCAAGACTGTAACAGGAGTTTATGGAATGGCATGGAAATTCCTTTCTGACCAGATGCTCAGTCATGCTTGGTCAACATCATGGTGAAGAATGGGAACATTAGAGTCTGGATCACTTGTGGAATGAGGCAAATGCTTTCCTCCTGCCTGGAGATGGAACTCCTGTCCTTGGTGGCACATTTTGAGAGTGTTTGGAGGGTCCAGCAAGGGAATGCTACTACTAATTTATCTTTGACTAAAGACTGGTCCTCCTCTATTGGGAAGTTTGAGTGCACAGCTTTGGAGGGACATACATGGAGCAGGAAGGGGACACTTGCCTATCTAGTCAGATCAACCCTGGTGATCAATGGGGAGACTGTTGTCATAGGCAGATCACCCTCACATCCTTAAGGCACCTTTTGAAAGCCAGATCATTTAGCTGAGACCCAGTCCTGCCTTGATCCCCTCTTTTAAGGGGTTCATATGGCCCCTAAGTTGAGCTCTTTTTTTTTGATACAGGGTCTCCCTGTAGGTCCAGCTAGCCTGGAGCTTGCTATGTAGACCAGGCTGGCCTTGAACTCACAAGATATCTGCCTGTCTCTGCCTCCTGAGTGCTGGCACTAAAGACATGTGCTACCATACCCGGCTTCGAATTCTTTTTAAAAATGTTTTATTTTTTATTTTTATTTTATGTGTATGAGTGTATTGCCTGCATGTGTATAAGTGCATCTGTGTCATGCAGTGCCAACGGAGGTCAGAAGAAGGTGTTGGATCCTTTGGAACTGGAGTTATGGATGATTATTAGCCACCATGTGGGTGCTGGGAATCGAACCTGGGTCCTCTGCAAGGGCAGTCAGTACTCTTAACCTCTAAGCCATCTCTCTAGCCTGTTTGAATTCTTTAAAGCAGTTTCTGCTTGCCCCTCCAGCCTCTTCTTTTACCCTGTGAGCCCCATGTCTTGGCCATGTGCAGCCTCTCAGCCCCTGGGCTACCCCTTTCTCCCACCCAGGTCTCAGCTTAGGTGGCACTTCTTATCTGAAGCCTTCCCTGAGTGCCTTTTGCCCCAGCACACCCTACATGTCCCCAGCCAGTCCTGTCTCTGCGTGTTGTAAAGGTTTGGTTAACTGATTTCCTAGGAAGCTGAGCCTTCAGGAGGTGGGGCCTGGGTTTCATTTTAATTCCCCCCAAGTTGCTCAGTACCTGTACACAGTAGGTGCCTAATGTCTATTTGCTCAAGAAATGCTGAGTGAACATGGCCAACTTCTGAAGCAGAGGCTCTGATTACCTTCTTCTTCATCTTCACGTTTTTGAAGATGGCGTGAACCCTCCAGGTCTTTGCAAACATGGCTCCAAAGGCAGTTGTATAGCCCACGGTGAGAATCCAGGTCCTGACCTAGAAGCCATAACAGTATAGAGGTGTTAATATCTTCTCTAATTGACCCTCAGCAGGGGGGAACCTAGGTTCTGAGGACAGATGCTCTGCCAACTTGCAAGTCTCCTGAGCATCCTGCAGTCAGATTCCGATTCCTTAGATCACTAGTCCTATCAGATTCTCACCTGGCCCTGGGCACTGGGTGTAGAGGACAATTCTGCCTCTAACAAGGCACACAGCCCAGCAGAAGCTAGTCATAGAATGAGAGGCAGAGATCCTTGCACCGTTGATGGGTCACCAGGAACATGAGGCCAGGTACCTTCCCCTCCCACCACGTGTGTTCTGGGCCCTACCCTTGGACTGATCTTGGAACCCTCCTCAGGACTAAGGCCCTGTCTGCCTCTCACCTGCTCCCCAAGTCCAAGGTGTGCCTTGGGTACCAGTCCTGGCTGGTGATTGATGAGAACAGCCAGTCTGATAGGAGCCTACACCTTGGATCCTGGAGGTAGAGGCATGATGGCCACCATATGATAGGACTGGGGATATCCAGGGTGCCCACTCTCCACCAGCACTGTCATGACACCCAGATGCCACCTCCACTGGCTGGCCTGGACACATGCCAACACACAATAGCCTTGGCCTTCCAGAAAGCTCCCAGCTCAGAGGTGCATCCTGCCTACCCTTGCTTTTCTGGCAGAGACAGCACATATCCCCATCCCACCCCATCTGTGAAGATAGTCACTGGCTGAGGAAATGACAAGGCCAATCCCTAAGTCAGGGAAAGACGGCATCAACCCAGTCATTCTTCAGAGACACACATGACATGTGAGTTTGAACCCACACAGGTGGGATTAGGCCTTTTGTTTTCTTTCACTTATCCAACAGAGGAAAATCAGATGGGCAGTGGATCACAGTGCTTTAAAGAAGGGAAAGATGACCATGCTGTCACCTATATCACAATGTGCCTATATTATTCTGTATGTATATAATATAATAATATAGTAATTCCAGGATGTGAGAAAAGTCAAAAGGGAGGAGGGGGAGGCAGTCGCTGGAGACTGAGACCCAAGTTTCTCCCATGACCTAGAGTGTCCACTGTTATCTGTCCGAGTCACAGGGGCACTCACACAGCAGCCATTCAGCCTGCCACTTATTGGTTCATCTGTCGCTTCATTCAGCAGGAACTAGAAAGCCAGAGGCCAAGTAAGGAACAACAAAATCCAACAACAACCAGGACAGCTTTGGAGCTGTTTAATGTTTTAATCAGGAAATCATTAAAATTTTTTTTAATTGAAATTCATGTGAATTTCAAACTATATTTTGATTATATTTAGACTCCCTCCCCATTCTGTATCCCTCTTAATACCTGCCCCCGCTTGATTTCATGTACTCTGTCATATATATTATGGCCTATTGAATCAAATTTTTGTCCCCAAATGTCTTTCAGTGTAGGTCACTCCATTGGAGCCTGGTTAACCTACCTAGAGTCTCACTCTTAAAGAAAACCGACTCTCCTTCTCCCAGCAGCCATTGGTTACCAATAGTTCCTCAGCTGAGATTGGGGCTTCTTCCCCACTTCCCCACGTCTATGCTAGGATTTTGTCTAGCTTGAGCTTATTTGGGTCTTATGCATGCTGTCACCGTGGCTGTGAGTTCATATGACTGCTTCCTTGTGGTCTCCTGCCTTACAACCTTTCTGCCTCCTCTTCCACAATAGTCCTTGAGTCCTGTGTGACAGAGGTTTGATATAGGTGTCCTATTCAGGGAGAATCGCTCTGTAGCCTCGTATTCTCTGCACGTCAGCCAGTTGTGGTTCTCTGTATTAATCACAAATGCATACAAATGCTTCTATGGTAGGGACTGGGAGATGCATTAAGATTCTTTCTGCCCCCTATTCCTCAATGTCCCCTGAGCCTTATGTGTAGTGGTTGCATTGCATGTGTGTCACTTAGGACTGGGCATCTTATAGACACTTATTCTCTGTATTTGACCAGTTGTGGAACTTTGTAATAGTCTCCATCTTTGGCAAAAAGAAGTTTCTTTGATGAGTGGTGAGAAGCACACTTGTCAGACTAGTTGGGAGCTCTCCAGCAGTGGGTTCTGGTCTAGTCCTAGAACAGGAAGATGGTGAGTTGGTTGGAAATCATGTTTATAAATGGGGAAACTGAGCACTTAACGTATTCCTTCAGCTATTCCTGTAGCCCCAGAGCTGGAACGCAGTATCCTGAACCTGTGTGGCTTTCTCTCTTCAATGGCATCTTGTCTCCTCTCCAGAGAGTCTGCTTAACCTAAATCAGCTTCATCTACACCCAGGATCCAGCCTACCAACCAGGACACACTCTGCTAAGAGTCCCTGTTACAATTTGAATTTCAAGTGTTCCCACAGGCCCACATATTGAATGCTCTGTCTTCAATTGGTGATGCTGTGTTGGGAGGAGGTAGAGACTTTAGGAAGTGGATCACTGGGGGCTGGCCTTTGAAAGTCAGACCTGGTCTCATTCTCTCTCTCTGCTTCCTGCCTACCATGAGGTGAGCTGCTCTGCTCTACCTCAGGCTTCTCACCATGATGGACTGAACCTTCCAAAACTGTGAGCTCAAAGATATTTTTCCTCTCTTTAAGCTGTTTCTTTCAGGTATTTCATCACAGAGATGAAAGTTTAATGTAATATAATGGCTGAGCTTGATTGTCAACTTTTAAATCACCACAGAAACAAATCTCCTGGTCTGTCTGTGTAGGAGTTATTACGATCAGGATAACTGAGGTGGGAAGACCCACCCTGAACAGGGGCAGTGCCATTCTATGGGCTGGGACATTGGTTTAATAAAAAAAAGAGAAGGTGAGCCAAGCACCAGCATCCATCTCTCTGTGCTTCCTGACTGTGGACATGCTGTGACCAGTGCCTCAAGTTCCTGCTGCCACACTTTTCCTGCCATGATGGGCTATGACCTCAAACTGTGAGCCAGAATAAACCCTTCTTTCCTTAAATTGCTTTTGTCAGGTATTTGTCACAACAATGAGAAAAGTAACTAACACACATAGTCTCTACACACTTTTAAAGCAAATACGTTGACTGTGAGACCAGCTGTCTCCCAGAGTGCGGGGTGATGTTATATTAGAAAATTAATTTTAACTGTGAACATCCACAGAACATGGACATTTTATGAAGGATGGAAAAGATGAAATAATGCAATTCTTTTCACGGCATCTGGTAGCTGACAGAGATCTTACTTGGAGGCCATGTGTTACGCCACTGTGCCTGGCATCAGCCACTTTGCCTTTGACCTATGTCCTCTTTAGAGCGATCATTACTGGGCCACTTGTCTCTTTTGAGAGGGTCAATTTCATTAAGATTCAATAACATAAATTAAGTGAGTTAAAACTCGATGAGATAAATTTAATGTGGCGTCTGGAGGCTATAACATGTTGCTGCCAACTGAAAACAAAGAAGTGTGAGGGCGCCCAGGCAGGAAGCTCTCACAGCCGGCCCTGCCTGCAACTGTGAACTCGGATTGAGGCTGGTTCCTACCATTCCCTCCCTGATGAGGGGGCTCACTAAGCAATTTTGCAAAACTGACTTGTGCTGAATAGCCGTATTCTGGTGGGAACCTAGAATTTGGGTATGCAGCAGGCCTGGGTGGGTGTTCATGGGACAGGGTCTTGGCTGTCCTGTGGGCTTCCTTGGTGGACAGCACATCCCGTGTTGGCTCTGTCCTTCCTTTCTGGAGAAAGTAGGCATGTCTCTGTGGAAGGTTCTGGAAGCTCATACTGGGTCTTCGTTGGATGGCTCTCTGTGAGTCTTGTCTCCTGGCTGGTTTTGGTAATTGATTACAGCCATGGGTATGATTGGATGCTCAGGCCTGGGAGTCCCAGTGAGTCACCGAGCCTGGGCTGTCACTGCCCATGTAACGGCCTGACCAAACATTGTGTTCTGGGGTTGGTTCTGTATGACATCAGCAGCAGCCCCAGTGTCAGGGACCTGCCCTGATTTTACACAGCAGACTCTTAAGGATGAATCAGCAGCAGAGAACAGACCAGTGAAAGAGGACAGTGTAGAGCAGGAGAAACAGCTCAGCCATTAAGAGCGAGTACTGCTCTTGCAGAGGATCTGAGTTTAGTTTCCAGCACCCACATTAGACAGCTCACAACTGCTTGTAACTCCAGCTCCAGTGGAGCTGACATTCTCCACTGGCACCTGCACTCACACGTGCATAGACATATATGTAACTAAAAAGGACAACAACAACAAAAAAGACAGAGGACAGTGGGGTCCCATGAGAGCAACCTTCCTAGGCTGACCCTGGATCATCCCTGAATGACTCTCCACCCTACTTTTCTTCCTGTCTGTGAGATAGAAGGGCCCAGGACCCTTCTCTGCACTCCTAAGGCTGTCCCTGGTTGTCACTCTGATTCCCAGTCTCCATCTTCTTCAGGACCCAAAGCTGCTTATGCAACTGTCATAGGAGCCTAGGTGACATGTAGGCATCCCAGACAATCCTCAGTTCCACAACCCAGGCTGGGCCCACAGCTCTTCTTCTGAGTTTCCGTTTCCTTAGACTCAAGTTAGGGATCTGGGAGACACTCTATCCATCCACATTCTCCTAAGTCCTCAGCTACCTCAAAGAGAAAACCTCTAGGCAACCAACCAACTGACCGACCAATAGACCAAACAAACAAGAAACCCCACTGCTGGCCTCTTAAGTGAAAACATTTCTCTAATTTCTACTAGTCTTGAATTCACTCAGAGGCTAAGTGGGTGTTTCTTAGGTAGTCTCTACTTTTTTATTTAGAGTTAGAAAATCCTAGCATTTCTGGGAGGGCAGAAAGGCTTCTCTGCCACACGTCTCCCCAGCTGTTGCCCATGCTAGCCTGCAACCCCTGTGAGCAGGGAAAAGAAGCTGAAACTACACCGCAGGACCCAATCCAACCAAGCCAGGGACGGGGCTGCTAGGCTCCCGGAGGTTTGAGCGTGGGCCCATGTGCCAGCATCTCTCACCCTGAAGCCCTGTACTTTGGTGGCTGG